TCTTCATCTCCACCTCTTCGCCGGTCACCGCCTTCTTCTCCAAATACTCCTCCAATCTCTGCGTGCAGTCAACGATTATGGGATGCATTGCTTTCATCTTTCCGGACGAAAATGTTGGACTTATCTAAGGATTAACAATTATGTTTTATAACTAAATTTTAACTTATATTGTTTTGCATATCAATCTGTTGACAACAATGTGTTGTATTTGTTAATGAATATACTGTACTCACAATTGATCGCATATTCTTCCACTCGTCGTCCATTAAATTAAACATTGATCTGTCGTTCAGTGAATCTCCGGTTACGAAGTCGTTTCGGTTCACAAATAGATGAAAGTCTTTGATATTCATCTCTTTAGTGAGTTCCGGGTCTGCGATCATAAGTACGGGTTTAGTGCCGAGAAATGTGCTGTCAATCAAAGGTTGAATATTATTTGACATTCAATACAAAGTATGACATTAAATATATTTTATAACATAATAACCAATGAATACAAACCCATAGATCTTTCCATATTTCCTGAAGTTCTCGGTATTGAGTTCAGTCAATGGTTTGAAAAAAATCTGGTATAAAGTGCCAAAACCTACGATCGGTTTCGGGCCGTCGATCCCACGCGATGACCAGTATTTGAAATTACGGGTCAAATAACTAATCAAAACAATAATAATAAATATATAATTGAAAACAAATAATGATTAATAACTTACAAATAGAGTATCACTAAAGAAGTAACCAGAACTATCAAAGAATTTAAGCCAAACAAGCTTGCTAGAATCATGTTTGCTTGCTAAATTTTAAAACGTTTGTTTTAAATGTGAATTTATTTAACTCTTAATTTTCAAAGTTTGAATATTGTTGTAAATTTCAGTCAAAACGCCTTAATATATATTAAATATAAAACCTGTTATCAAATAATTGTTTATATTATCCAATCGTTTGTAAGATTACAGTACGAGATGATGAAAATAGTTTTATTATTGTATCTATGACAATTCAAGGACATAATAATAATCTATTAGTGTTTTGGGCGAATAAACGAGCAAAGTTTGCTGCAGACAATACAATTGTATTCAATCAAATCTAACGCCAGTAAACACATGATGAAATCAAATGAAATAATGTGCAAAATTTAATTAGTTTTTGTCTGTTTAGTGGGAATAAAAACAAATATTTATTATTGATTTACTTTTTATACACTGTTTTCCTCTATTTCTAGTACATTAGGATCACATCAAACTCAATGTTTGTTATGAATATCACATTTTGATTAATAAACAGATATTTAAATGTTTAAACATTTTAAATTCTGTTTATCAGTTTTGTGTATTACTGATAAAAGTATTATTTTAAAAATATTTAAAAGGGAAAATGTGAAATTGTTTTAAACCAAATGAGTTTGTATGAGAGTAAAGTGATCATGCAATAAATTACTATTAATTATTATATTAAACAAATATACAACATTAGATTTATTTTAAATAATTTTTAAATAAAATAACGATTTATCTACAAAATAAATGGCATATACTATGATATAGCTGTAAAGCTGGTATATTATTACAAATAAATTAATTTCATTATGATCTCAATTTAGTTTAAACCTATTTTATTTTATTTAATAGGAGTTGTCATGCAATCAATTTTTAATCAGAAAAGTTGTTGACTTTTAAATTAATGAAATTGCTCTCCCAGTACTAGGAATTTAGACCCTAGATAAAATACATGTAAAGTATCCTTTATATTCTCATCATTAAAACAATAAATGATTTTCACAGTTATAATAACGTGTTGAGTGATATATTTTGATCTTGAATAATAAACTATGCAATTATACATTCTCATAAATGTTAAGAAATTACTATTAGGAACATTTATAATTTATAAAATAATAATAGTTTATTTGAAATATAAAAGTTAAACACAAAAAATTAAGCTAGTATATTTGTAAAATATTACCACATTTATTTGGATATTTTGAATTTATAATGTCTAATGAAGACAAACAATTCTGATAAATAAGGAAACAATTTTTAAAAAGGGTATAATTTTCTTTGCATGAAAGTAAAATAATTATTGTATAATTAACTAAATTAATGACTTAAATAATAATAAAATAGATTGTGTTAATTGTTTTGTTTTCATTTTCTCAACTCTACGCCTACGTTGACGTCTCCGGTGCTGTAAATGAATTGAAATTTAAGTGGTTTGAGGGGAACAGTAGTTCTGTCCGTTCGCACAAATTTGAATTTGTTCACCAAATAAGCAGCGGTTGTTTTGGCCTCCATTAAGGCAAACCTCATTCCCACACAATTTCGGGGTCCCATTCCGAACGGCATATAAGTATACGGCACTAATTGATCACGATTTTCGGGCATAAAACGCTCAGGGTCCCAACGATCCGGGTTTGGGTAATACTCGGGGTTCTTATGCAGGGCTTCAATGTTAAAGTTAACTAACATTCCCTTCGGTATTGTTATTCCCGTATCGCCTAATAATTGTGTTTAATATTCAATTAGATAAGCATTGAATTATTTCTTAATAATTAGAAATTACGGTAAAATACAAACCGATAGTATATTCTTCGTTAGCAATTCTGCTGACACCGGCCACAGGATTGTATATTCGCAGTGTTTCGGCGACACAGGCCTCCAAATACGGCATTTTGGATATACTCTCGTAATCATAGTTTCCATCAAAACTGTGCACTTCTTCGTACAGTTTTTGCTGACATTCGGGATTCAAAGCCAAACTATAGAGGAGATGCGTTAGTAGACTGGCTGTGGTCTCATATCCGGCCACAAAAAATAAGAAACTCGTGGCCAGAATATCGATGTCCGTTATTTCAGTGGCCTTTAGTTTATTGGATTTGTTTTTGTCCAACTGATCCACTTCTCCAACTTCGCCAAAGATGGCTGTATTCAAGTCATCCACTTCTAGTTCATCGCCGGTCTCTAAAGTCTTATTCTTGGCGTCAATCATAAGCTGCAGATAATCCCTTTTCTTTGTCTTTTCTGATTTTCGTCTTTCGATAATCGATTTGATCTAAACATAGAGGAAATAAAAGGCATTTTAAAATAGATTTCACATATATTTTAAACTGTTAATAAACACGAACCGCTTTTTGGAAAAAGTTTTGAACTCCGGGATCTGTTATTTGAAATCCCGTCCATTCGATTAGTTTCGGGAATGTTGTGTACACCAGAAAGAAGACCCAAACCCTCCAATTGCCGCGAAATACTTTGCGGGCGTTTATAACAAACTCATTGTTGTCGTCATTATGTGTATCCGTTTTGGTGCCGAAAGCGCACGAAGCGATCACATCCATAGTTAGATTTCCCATCGCTTTCTTTAACTCCACGTCTTCGCCATTCTTCGACTTCTTCTCCAAATAATCTTCCAAACGATGGACACAATCGACAATAATTGGATGCATTGCCCGCATCTTTCCCGACGAAAAGGTCGGACTTATCTAATAATTAAAAAAAAACATTAAATATTTAAATTGATTTTTAAAATACAACTAACAATTGATCGCATTTTCTTCCAGTCGTCGCCCAATAGATTAAAGAGCGACCTATCGTTCAACGGATCCCCTGTTATAAAGTCGTTGTGATCGAAGAAGACGTGAAAATCTTTAATATTCATGTCTTTAATCAATTGCGGGTCACATATCATAAGATTAGGTTTTGTGCCAAGAAATGTGCTGTTTATCCAAATAATAATATTATTTTGTCAAACAATTCATATCCAATTAATAGCAATACCCGTATATATTTCCATATCGTTTGTATCCATTGAGAAATATTTCAGGCATTGGCTCAAAGAACATGTGGTATAGAGTGCCGAAGAATGGGATCGGTTTCGGGCCATTGATTCCCCGCGAAGACCAGTATTTGAAGTTTCGCGTCAAATAGCTATTGAAAATTAGACGATATATTAGTGAGAAATTGAGCAAAAATGACAATTTTAAAACAGTCAATACATACAAATATAGTGCAGCCAAAGTTGTAATGAGTACAACTAGTGAATTCAACCCAAATAGGCTTGCAAATAACATGCTTGCTAAGTTTTAAAAAATTAATAATACAATTATTATGTAACAATATTAATTAGCAAACATTTATATAATATGCTGGAAATATTGTAATGTTTTGCTTTAAATAGATTGTCGATATTTAAACTAACAAACAGTTTGTGTTATCACACATTGATGTCTATAATGTTTCTAACATTGATTTCATGAATGTTTGAATTTATTGCGTTAATCGCAATACAAGGACACGAAATATAGTGATTCAATAATAGGATGTGTTGTTAAGGTTGGATAATTATAATAAAATTGTATATTTGGTTGAACGAGAGAGAGAGAGAGAGCGAGAGTATATCCAAAATGCCGTATTTGGAGGCCTGTGTCGCCGAAACACTGCGAATATACAATCC